CCAGTAAACGATCCATCGTCTGTTTGGAGTACAACTCTGGCTTTTTCCGTCTTGTCTCCATTCAAGCTTTTTGTGAGATTCCACAGACGTGAAGTGTCCTTCTCGAGGTTAAATGACGCTGTCTTTTTGTGCCAGCTTTCCCTCATCTGATTATTTCTCTCTCTCTGACGAAGGCTGCTTTTGCTCTGTTATGAAGTATTACATTTTTATCTGTCGGATCCTTCTCCATATTTTCCCTCCTGGTACTAAGTTTGGAATGCAGAGTGTCCAGTTCAGGCGACCAGTAAGGTTTAAAGTTTTTCCTGCTGCCTCGTGGTATGTTACCCTTGGCTGCATTTAGAATAGTTGTGTTGAGGATCTTCAGTTTGGCATTTATTTCCAGTCTTCTGAAGAAGACTCTCCTCAACATGTCGTCCAAATAGGAAGTGAAAAGGCTCCAGTTAGCCTTCTTGTAGTTCCAGCTGGGAGGGTTCTTTTCCTTAGTAACTTCTCTACTTTTGTTAATAGAAAGGATTACGGGCCTGTGGTCACTGCCTCCCAGCTGTTGACATACATCCCGGCTGGTAACTTTCTCCACATCTTCAGTTGCTATAGCCAAGTCTGGAGTGCTGGTTTTCCTCCAAGCTCGAGAGTAGAATGTGTCTGGGTCGTCACGATGATTTATCAGAACTAGAGTGTTGCTGATTATCCAGTTTTCTACCTCTTCTCCTTTCGCATTGAGGTCTGTGTAGCCCCAGCTAGGTGAGTGGCTATTTAGATCTCCGACAGCAATCCAGTTTTCTGTGTTTAGTAGGATGGGTCCCAGATTAATATCTCTGTTTGGTGGTGAGTAGATGTTGCATACTGTCACATCTTCCCTTGCACCCTTAATAGTGACTGTGATAAACTCTGTATCCCCACACTGAGATCTCTGGGTTTCCCAAGCTGTGATCGTGTTCTTGACAGCAGTCAAGACTCCTCCTTTTGGACGATCTAACCTGTCGTGTCGGAAGATTTGGTATCCCCTGATAGAGAATCTGTGTGCACTTGTGAGGTGAGTCTCTTGGATGCAGCATATGTCGATATCGTGCTGCTTCAAGAAATTGTGTAGTTCAGTTTTCTTCAGCCTCACTCCCTCAGCATTCCAGTGCATAATTGTCAGTTTGTGTCCAGTTGCATTACTCTGTTCTTCCCTGGTCACTCCAGAAGATTCAGAGGTTGTGGCTCTAGTAGCTTGGGGTGGGCCCCCTCGAGGCTGAGGGCCCGGCGCCATCCCTACCCGTCCACGTCCCATAGGAATGACACCATAACGTGATAATTTTGTTTGCATGACCATATCGCTAGTGCGTAGATGCCCGATTTTTAGTCCCGTGCCAAGTAGGCTGACATCTTCCGACTTCGACGGTTGAGGTTTTTTTTCAGGATTCCCCCTCCCATAGGCTGATTGCCTTCCAGGGCTTATGAGTTCTGCCTACCCACATTTTCTGTCGGGCTTTGTTGCCCTAGCCTTTGTTCTTACAGGAACTTCCCACAAGGCAGTGGTGGTTTGGCATTCGGTGTGTCCTTCACGTAGATGAATTGCCTTTCAGGGCTTTTGAGCTTCATCTGCCCAGGGTTTAATTAATACAAAAGTGAGGGCTTAATAACTGTCACCCCAGTAGAGCCTCGTGCTGGGGAAGGAACTAGGGACGCAACATCCATCAGCCAGATGTCGCTCCTGTACATCATGACTGCCTTCGTTAACGACTGTGCTCCCCGACAGCCATGCAGTTTATTGGCACGAAGGAAACGCCTTAAACTTGGGTTCTGGACTACCGACTCCCTACATGGGTTCTGGACTACCGACTCCCTACATGGGTTCTGGACTACCGACTCCCTACATCCTGACACCTGTGTGTTATTGGTGTACAAAATTTGTCATTTTTCTGTCATATAACATTAGCCCGTGCATATGTTACAGCATACATTTAAAAAAAAAAAAAAAAAAAAAAAAAAAAAAATAAAAAAAAAAAAAAAAATATTTTTATGTATACATGCTTACTAACACTTGCACATACCAATAATAATTGTGACAAGAAATAACAGTAATTAACAGTTTACAGGTACTCCCACATCAAAGTAGAGAGGGAGAAAGAGGCACATGTACACATACAAGAATATAGAGGGATAAAGAGGGGGGGAGGAAGAGAGAGGGAGGAGAGGAGAGAGAGAGAGAGAGAGAGAGAGAGAGAGAGAGATGACTAGAGAGAGAGAGAGAGAGATCACTAAATGACTAATTCCTCCAGGAGGGAAAATGTTCAACAATGCTTCTATACTGTAATCCAGGTAGTTGGTGTGGGGCAGGGCATCAAAACTGTCAAGTGTTTTTCCTTGAGGGCCCGACACAGATATTGTCTGTTGCCGAAAAATAAAGGTGAAAATCCGAACGGCGTTGATTCGATGAAGTTGAATGCACTTTAGCTAGTCTCCTATCCTAGAGACTGTTCTGTGTCCGGCTCCTAGGGGGTCCAGAAAATAAACCCGTTCATCTGATGGCCTAGTAGAATGTCTTTCGACCAGTTTCAAGTTACACATGGTAACCTTGTTACTGGCTTTCTGTGATGTTGACGACTTTGTGCCCCCTTCAAAATTCCGCTGTTAATTGTCCATAGATGATTGTCGCTGGGTGGGGCCGTGTGAAGTGAATGTAGCAAGTGAAATGGAAGCCGAGAGACTGGGGTGTTCTCAGTCGGGTACGCCCAGGGCTCCGTGGATAATATCCTGTTGGCTCCTTCATTATGAAAGGGGGGGGGGGGGAGAGAATTTAAACGTGTTCGCTAATTTCTCTAGACTCGATGTGAAGATGTTGATCTCCCTTCATTTATTGAGTAAAATGGGTCAAAAAACTGCTTTACTGTGGGTTTTTTTTTTTTTTTTCACAGGTATGTTAACACACGTTATATATTTGATATTTTACTGCCGGACCCGCCTGGGTCAAAAAGAGTTAACGGGGTCAGCACATTTTTCTCCACGGAGCAGGCAGAAGGGGTGTGAAAAATTCTGTCACTGTGTTTGCTGCTGGATGGAAAATAATGCGACTGAAATGTCCCATTTTTATTCTACCGTGGAATGTGCCTTTCTGTCTCAGCTTGTTCCGTGGTCCAGTTTTATCGTTTGGAGGATAGCCAACGCGTATCGGGTGTCAATGATACATTTCAGTGAAGAGACACGCCCTTTTGAACGCTATACCTGTTGTTTCCATACAGTGTGTGAATGCTTGTTAAAACTCTCTACTTAAAGAATCTAACATTTTTATCGCGTGTTGATAAGTAAAGCACTACAGAATATTTCACGGCACAACTGACAGGATAACGGTCACAGTGATATAAAAATATTATTTCTTTCACTAAGACAAACTGAATAATAAATCCAAAAAGTGAGAGCTCGAAAAAAAAACACGTCCTCTCAGTAGGGAGTCGGTGTCACCTTCTATTGATTCTTCAATTTCTGAAGGAAGGAAAAAATGCTCCAGAGATATGTAAAATCCTTCGCCTGCTTAAACTGGTGTTAATCAATATTGGCATTAGAGGTTGTTCTTTTTTTGGAGAATTTCACAACCTCTGTTTTGTCTACGTTGATCCTCATATCATATTTTTCGCATGATGAGTGGAGTCTGTTAATATGTTCTTGTTGTTGAACTGCTGATGGTGCTATGATTACCTGTTTTATCATTTTGTGTTAGGTATAGAAACTCTAAAACGTTATCTATAAATTTATGTTCAGCGTTTCTCGCATATATTATGTGGAATATGTTTGAAATATGCGGTATGTCCAGGTTTATGTCAGTGAAACCCCTTGAGCAGGACCGCATTTAGACTTTACGGGGCCTCAAGATTTATAACGCACTGAGGCCTTACGGGAATAATTTGAGTTTAAAATCTATTTAAAGTATTTAAGGAGCCTGTGCACTGTGCTGAGCTTCTTCAGACTCAGACTTGAGTTAGAAGAAAGAACGGAGCACTTCTAGGTTACTACCCGTGTCTCATATTGTTGATCCGTTGTTCAAACTTCAAACCTCAAACCTCATTGTCATTTAATTTTAAGATTAAAAAAACATGCTTGTTTTGCAAAATCACAAAACATATATTATATAATACTTTAAAAAGGCTCTATTAAAATAAAAATTGCATTTAGATTTGTCTTTTAAACTGATTTCGTAAAGAAAAAAAAAGAGGCATTTCTTGAAGCCCATGTAGATTGTCAGGTCCGCTGTAGCTTATTTAGCTTATACCACTGATTCCCAAACCGCGAAATATTCGAAAATACACAAGTTATTTTTTTTTTTTTTTTTTTTTATCTTTTACATACGAATAGTCATACTTTTCCTTAGATTAGGGCGCCGTGGACAATTTGTAACTGAAAACGGAGCCACGACTAGGAAACGTTTGGGAAACACTGGCTTATACTAAATCCGGCACTGTCCTTGAGTTTATCTATTAAGTTTTTGTTTTTGTTTAAATGTTCACCACTCTCTGGTACATCCTGATGTAATATCGCTTGAGTAATGAATTGTTTTAAAACGTTTCTGGGAATTGTCGTGAAAGGATAGACGTAGGGGAAAGGAACTGATAATTCTACTTCAAATGCCAAAGGCCTAATGCTTCACACCTGAAGGGTACCATCTGCGATAATACTGTCTGTATCTATTGAATTTACTTGTAACACTGCAAAGGTCGACTTCTGTGGCCTAGGCGTTACGAACACGCTTTGTAGTTCTAAGGTGCCAATTTCGATTCCAGCTGCAGGCAATTTGGCAGCAGACCACCTATATTGACTTCGACACTGGTATCGAGAAAAGACAGTTAAGAAAGCAAGGGCATGTTACTGAATGCACAATTACATAGTAACAGAAAAAAGTTAAGAAATTATAGGGTTGGATCTGCAAAGTTATGTAAAGGATATGCAACTAACTTATGTTTTTACTTACAGTAAAAATTTTATTACTAGATTGTTTAAAGCGAATTCACTTTTATCATTAGGTCATGGGTGATGATCTATTGCAAGAGTCTACAGAAGTATGTCAGTATCAAAATATTCCCAGTCATGGATACCATTTCGACGCAGTTGAGATTCAGTCCGCACTGATTCAGTTGTCCGACAACGCAGCCTCGGATTCGCGTGCACGCTGTGCCTTAGAAGCAGCGGCAGAGCCGGAAAACCCTCAGAGTGAAAGTGAACAAACTAAGAACATTACATGCAAGCCACAAGACCATGCCGGGGCAGGAGACATCACGGGGTCGCCGGATTCACAGAACGTAGTTCCTTCGATGAGCCGCAGCCTCAGCGACCGCACCTGTTGCAGAATCTGCCAAGAAGATGACACGAGCGAAAAGCTAATCTCTCCTTGCTTCTGTACCGGCTCTGTGGGATACATGCACTTTTCCTGCCTGGAGAAATGGCTGCAGATGAACTCTAGAACTCACTGCGAGCTGTGTTCATATCCTTTTCCTGTTTCGAAAGTACTGCCTACTCTTTGGAATTACTTTCAACACCCTTCTCAGAACATGGACTTGCCTAGTCTTCTGTGCGATATTTCTTGCTTTTTCCTGCTGACTCCATTGTTAATTGCCAGCACATACCTGTGCAGTATTGGAGTAGGCCATTATCACGTAGTGGGCAAATCTGAATCTGTGTTTGCTGTCATTACTCTAATGATCTCCCTGATAACCGTCTACAGCGCATGGGCAACTTTGGCTTTCATGTATCACCGAAGAGTGTGGTTAACTTGGCGAGATAAAAATGCCCAGATTCAAATGATGACAGACACAACACTTCTCGGGCAGCCCAGAAAATCGCTTGATGAAATCGATGTAGAAGCGGATTCCATCGCCAGTGATTCATGTGGGATCACATCGCGGCAGGAAAGTGCTTCAATTCTACTAAGGCCTTTCTTGATCTTCACTAAGGCAAGACTTATGTGAAGTCCGCAACTCCGTTGCCAGTAGTAACACTGTGGGAGCTACCAATGCTTTAATATCAAGCATTTCGTAAAAATGTTCAAAACAATTTTGATATTTAGACAGCACACAGTATCTTCCTGTTTATGCTTTTTAGAGTTCTCGTGAACAATTACTGTCACACTTACTTTACTTTACTTTTTCCTTCCACGTATGCCGCTAAGCGTTGTGGGGAGATGCAAGTTCCTGTCATAAGCAAGGCGGGCAGCATCTGATGTTCTGAGGCCATGCTTTTGGCAGGTTTCGGAGACCCCGTCAATCCACAGTTTCCTTGGTCTTCCTCTTGCCTTATATCCTGAGCTTCTTTGGTTGAAAATTTGTGATGTTATTTGATCATTTTTCATCCTGGTTAGATGTCCAAACCATTTCATTCTTTGATGTTCTATGTAGTCTAAACATGGTGTAGTTTTGACAGTGTTTCTAATGTCTATATTCTTTATCCTGTCTAGTCTGGTCTTATTCGCTGCTTTTCTTAGACATTTCATTTCACAGACTTCTATTTTTCTTTCATGGGTCTTGTTGATTGTCCATGTCTGGCACTGGTAGCAGAGTGTTGGAATGAAGATGGTGTTTATCAATTGTCTTTTGGTCTTCATGGTTATATCTGGATGTTTAAGCAGAGGTGATAGTTGGTATGTGACAGCATTTGCTTTCTGTATTCTTGTTTCTATCTCTCTGTCCATTCTTCCATCCACTTGCCAGGTGAAAAGTAAAGAAGTGAAACAATTAGTTTATGGTTTTAAAAGTTTAAAATTCCATACATAATCCTATTTTTAAAATGCCATACATAATCCAGTTATTACGCTTTTCATGGCCTCCTGTTCTTATGTTTATAAATGTATACGTTACGACTAAGTAAAATATCTTCTGAGACACGTCTGTTCTTATCTGGGACCCAATTATTTGTGTCTGTTATACAAGCCATCGGACGGAAGATTCCTGCAGACTAAATATGTCTGATCTTCCACACATTCCCATGCTCATGCATTTGCAAACTTCAGATGTTTCGACAATCCCATGTCCACCTTCCAGCTGGTCTATCCCTGCTTCGTTTTCTAGACATCATGCCTTTGTTACTGTTTTATACTAATCGCTGGTGTTTAACACATCCAAATGTTTGTAAATCTGGTGACATAATGGTGTTTAGGAGACGTTTGTCCAATGTTCAGATTATGAAGATAATGTCTTCGGGGATTTTCTTTTTTCTTTGGACACAGTGGGCACACATTCTAAGAATGTTTCTATAATTTGTAAGTTCAAGTCTCGATTTTCATCTACAGTGAATGCTGGTTAGTTTGTGAATTATATAGAAAAGGAAACTAGCAAATGAAGTTAAAAAGACAATGCGGCCATTGCATGAGCTGCATACGATAGCAGAGGATAGGACGACTTGGAGTGAATTCGTTTAAGGTCTATATTCCACTAGGCGATAAGCAACAAGACAAAAAGAAAAGATAATATTGTAAATTGAAAATTATTTAATCACAACCGTTGTTGTCACACTCCCACTGCCATTACACCTTTGTCGGTTTCTTTGCCTATTATTCATTGTTTACGTACATACAACAGTATGGATTCTATAACCCACATTAACATTCGCCTTTCCGTGGCAGTTTATCAATCATTAATTTGTTCGTATGTATGATGCCGAACAACGCTGCCGATTAACAGCAGTAGTGTCGGTGTTAACATTCCAACAAGTTTCAACAGAGTCTAAAGGGCCTGGGAGCTCCACCAGCATAAGGGTCCAGTGCTAATGTGTTTATGTGAAGTGACTTGCCTTTTAAAGTTGCATTCCTGTCAGTGGTTGTTGTTTGAGCCGCAGCAGCCTGATTTGACCACCGGTCCGTAATGCTGTTAAGACGGCTCTGCCAGTTACTTATATTTTTAACATTTACTCATCGCCAACTCCTTTACAGTTGTTTCAGTCCAGTAAGTGTTATCCATCGGATATGTAGAGTGTCTATACTATCTCAGAATAAAGGCCTTTCAGATATATATTTGTGCTAAAAAAAAAAAGACATGTGTATATATATATATTTTTTTTTTTACATTGAATTATTGATATTCTGTGTGTGACAAACTGACTGAATTTCTTTCAAATTGGTAGTACACTACCATTTTAGATTTTGAATTTGTATTCAGTGTCAATATTTTGAAAAGTCCATTGAAAAAACACTTAGTTTTATGTTAAAAAACATGAAAAGAAATCCTAATTAACAAGTAAAACAAACATACAAGAATGCTTAAATAGCTGCACTGTGTTTTAATGAAATCGGGTGTACTGGGCCAAAAACAACCATGCAGTAGCCTGCTGTAAACCACAATACACCATCGCAACCACTGTTGTAATTGTGAATGCAGTTGAAGAGGAAGAAAGGCTGCATTGTGGACACAGGCGTGCATGAGAGACTGTGCTACTTTCTTCGTATGTTTTTTATTTCTTGCTTACAATCTCTCTCTCTCTCTCTCTCTCTCTCTCTCTCTCTCTCTCTCTCTCTCTCTCTCTCTCTCTCTCTCTCTCTCTCTCTCACACACACACACACACACATACAGACACACACATACACACAGGCATAAACATTCATAGGTATGTATAAATCCTTTTTAAGGTTCACTAAATGTAATCATAAAAATCGCATGGAGGAGAGCTGGAGAATGAAGTTAGAAAGACGGGGAGGACATGGGGAAAGCTCCATGTAATGGCGAAGGATAGAACGATTTGGCGTGAGTTGGTTGAGGACCTATGCTCCATTAGGGGATAGAAAGGCAGAAGAAGAAGAAATGTAATCATTACAGTCATATTTCGGCTTTGAAATACAATTTAAAGCAAAAGGCCATAATAGTGGCAATTTTAATTATTCAACCATTGTGGCCTTCATCTTTGGCCACCACTATATATATATCATCATCATCTGCCTTGCCGACTGACGTGGGCGATCATGCCTCTCCATAATCTGCGATCTCCTGTAGCATGTATAAGTTCGTGGGCTGAAACACCTCCATGCCCCGCAACAAGACTGTCAAGAATCTTCTCTCGTTGTTTTCCTCTATTCCTCCTTCCACATATATTTCCAGTGATCTCTACATGTTCCACTTTTCCTCTTCTCGTAACATGGCCGAAACATAATGACTGTCTCCTTCTGGTGTCTGTGATAAGTTGTCTTCGGGCTTCCGCCTCTTGCAAAACCACTTAGTTGCTATGTTTGGCAGTCCAAGGTATTTTAAGCATTTTTCTGTTAAATGACATCTCTGCAGCCTCAAGAAATAGTTTGGCCTGCCTACCGATTGTCCATGACTTTCAGCCATATGTTAAAACTAGATGTATGTAGCAAGCAAGAATTCTTTCTCTAACCTAAAGTGACAGAGATAAATCGCATAAGATGTTCTTCATTTCCTAAAATGCAGTTTTTGCCTATATATATTTATATAAAATATTACGTATTTTGTTCACTTTTGTCACGATAAAATCATCGGCAAAAAGATTTACCTACTGATCTCTGTCGTAAGCAACCATGTGTATATCTTTGTATGTGTGTACGTGTGTGGTGGTAATGAGAGAGAATTTCGGGAGAGAGAAGATAGGGAGAGAGAAGATAGGGAGAGTGAAGACAGGGAGAGAGAAGATAGGGAGAGCAAAGATAGAGAGCAAAAATAGGGAGAGAGAAGATAGGGAGAGAGAAGATAGGGAGAGCAAAGATAGGGAGAGTGAAGATAGGGAGAGAGAAGATAGGGAGAGCAAAGATAGGGAAAGCAAAGATAGGGAGAGCGAAGATAGGGAGAGCAAAGATAGAGAGAGCAAAGAAAGAGAGAGCAAAGATAGGAAGAGAGAAGATAGGGAGAGAGAAGATATGGAGAGAGAAGATAGGGAAAGCAAAGATAGGGAGAGCGAAGATAGGGAGAGCGAAGATAGGGAGAGCAAAGATAAGGAGAGCAAAGACAGGAAGAAAGAAGATAGGGAGAGATAAGATAGGAAGAGATAAGATAGGAAGACAGAAAATAGGGAGAGAGAAAATAGGAAGAGAGAAAATATGGAGAGAGAAAATATGGAGAGAGAGGGTAAGAAAAGAGAGGCAGAGAGAAGGTAAAAAAAAAAGTAAAGTAAAGTTCCCTTCTCACGCCTTTCGGCTCATTGGGCATGGGCATAGCGTCCCATATTTTTACAGACCATCAGCACTCTGTGGGTAATGTGGTCAGCATTACACCGGCTGTCTTTACTTTCCCAGGACAGCCCATCCTGGTACCCATTTTCGGCTGGGTCCACCTGCGACGTCCCATACCACGACAAAAATCCACGCAGCCTACAGTGGGTTTCGATCGCGGTATGCTGGCTTACAAGTCGGACTCGCAACGCCTTAGCCACGGACGCCGCATAGAGAAGGTAGATAGAGAGAAAATAGGGAGAGATAGAATAAAGTTAAAGATCCCTTTGTACTCCTTAGGCGCATCGGGCATATGGGAAAAGTACCCATATTTTCCAGACCAATTAGCTCTAGGTGGGTAATGTGGTCAGCATTACGCCGGCCGTCTTTACTTTCCCAGAACATACATCCTGGTACCCATTTTAGGCTGCGTCGACCTGCGACGTCCCATAACACGATACAAATCCACGCAGCCAACAGTGGGTTTCGGTCGCGGTACGCTGGAATTACGAGCCGGACTCGCAACGCCTAAGCCACGGATGCTGTGAGAGAGAAAATAGGAAGAGAGAAACTAAGGAGAGAAAAATATGGAGAGAGCATTTAGAACAGACTTCAACTGGTAAGATAAGAACTTTTGAAACAGCAGAGAGGTAAAACTCCGGGGTATAACTAAAATAAAAGCACATTTAATATTTAAAAATTGCAATCTCACACATTTATCGTCACTGTCTTTTTGTGTCATTTTATGTCACATAGGCCTCGTAGTCTACCTCATCATTTAGTTCTTACCTCTGTAGTCATTTGAATATCATGGATGGAATC